CGTCGCCGTCCCCGTCCCCCTCCCCCGAACCGCCTCGCCTCACCGGCCAAGAGGGCGTGGACAGAGCCCTCCCTACTCTGTTTGGACACGCGGGTGCGTTGCGTGCGTCCTCTCTACGCGGTCCGAGCGAGGTGCTGCCTCTGACGGACCGCAAGGACAGAGTGAGTCGGTCGCAGGTGCGTCCTCTTCGCGGACGCGCCGGAGCGTGTTCTGCCCGTCCCCGGCCACGAGCTGGCCGAAGCAGCAGAGGCGAGGGAGCGCTCGAGGAGTACAGTCGGCTCTTGCTGCTCTGTCTAGGCTATGAGTGCTGGCTCAAGGAGCTGGCGCCGCAGGGCGGCGGGGCGCGCGGCGGGAGCGCGCGCGGGCGGAGCCCGAGCAAGGAGGGCACCTCCTCGCAGTACATCGACTGCTCGGACTATGCTACTAACCACTGCTGCTACTACTATTACCAGGAGGGCACCTCCTCGCAGTACATTGACTGCTCGGACCCGGGCGTGGCGACCTCCGAAGGCGCCTCGCACAGCAGCGCTGAAGGGCCGCGCCTCCGTCCAACTCGTTCATTGAGCGCAGAGTCCTCCTGCAGGCACCTCGTACGCGAGCCTGGGGGTGTGCTGTGAACGGCGTCTCTTCACACCTCCTGCTGTGAACAGGCACCTCGTACGCGAGCCTGGGGGGGTGCTGTGAACGGCGTCTCTTCACACCTCCTGCTGTGAACAGGCACCTCGTACGCGAGCCTGGGGGGGTGCTGTGAACGGCGTCTCTTCACACCTCCTGCTGTGAACAGGCACCTCGTACGCGAGCCTGGGGGGGTGCTGTGAACGGCGTCTCTTCACACCTCCTGCTGTGAGCAGGCACCTCGTACGCGAAGCTAAAGGGCTTCGCCCTCAAGCAGGGGGGCGCCACGTGCCAGCACCACGCCAAGCCAGGCGCGAACTCGCTAGATCCTAGGCCTCTCCTAGACCCTTCCTAGACCTCTCCTAGACCCTTCCTAGCCCCTTCCTAGACCCTTCCTAGACCCTCTCTAGCAGCACGCAAAGCCGGGCGCGAACTCGAGATCACCCGAGATCACTCGAGATCACTCGAGATCACCCGAGATCGCCGTGAGATCGCCAAGCCGGGCGCGAGCTCTCTCGCGGCGCGGCGCAGAGGTCGCTGTGTACCGCGGCAGCGCCTCCGAGGCGCCACCCGAGAGAGAAAAAAGAAAAAGACTTCGCGTCTCGAGGCGCAAACTTCGGCTGCGGTGGTGCGCCTGGCGCGGGCGTGTGCTGCCTCGACATGCGAGGTGCCGAGACCCGCGCGGCGCGAGCCTGGGGGTGTGCTGTGGACGGCGTCTCTTCACACCTCCTGCTGTGAATTAGGCGCCGACCTGCGCGGCGCGAGCCTGAGGGACGCAGACATGGGCGGCGTCGACCTGTCGGGCGCCTGGCCTACCTCTCCTAGACCTCTCCTAGACCTCTCCTAGACCTCTCCTGGACCTCTCCTAGACCTCTCCTAGACCTCTCCTAGACCTCTCCTGGACCTCTCCTCGACCTCTCCTAGACCTCTCCTAGACCTCTCCTGGACCTCTCCTAGACCTCTCCTAGACCTCTCCTAGACCTCTCCTAGACCTCTCCTAGACCTCTCCTAGACCTCTCCTAGACCTCTCCTAGACCTCTCCTGGACCTCTCCTAGACCTCTCCTAGACCTCTCCTGGACCTCTCCTAGACCTCTCCTAGACCTCTCCTAGACCTCTCCTGGACCTCTCCTCGACCTCTCCTAGACCTCTCCTAGACCTCTCCTGGACCTCTCCTAGGCCTCTCCTAGACCTCTCCTACACCTCTCCTAGACCTCTCCTGGACCTCTCCTAGACCTCTCCTAGACCTCTCCTGGACCTCTCCTAGACCTCTCCTGGACCTCTCCTAGACCTCTCCTAGACCTCTCCTATGATCATATAAGCTGAGTCTGGCTCATCACAGCCTCCCACGAACGGCGCATGCGGAACCACAGGCCTGTGGCCTAGACCTCTCCTAGACCGTTCCGTCCCTACACGGCTCCTAGACCTCGCCCCACGAATGGCATGCGGAACCACAGGCGCGCGACTCGACTGCGCCGACCTGCGAGGCGCGAACCTCGCCGGCGTCAACGCGGAGGGCGCGCCGCCGCCCTATCTCCCCCTCTCTCCCCTACCTCCCCCCTATCTCCCCCCATCTCCCCCTATCTCCCCCTATCTCCCCCCCGATCTCCCGCCGCCCGAGGCGATGGACACACGCACTCACCCACACACACGGGTCAGGAGCGGGGGGGGCTGGCCGTGCGCGGTGTAGGCGCCACCTTCCGCGGCGCTGTGAACGGCGTCTCTTCACACCTCCTGCTGTGAATGTAGGCGCAACCTTCCGCGGCGCGTATTTGTGGAAGGCGAAGCTGCAGGGCTCGCTGCTGCTTGGCGCCGACTTCACCGGCGCGGAGATGGTGTCTGCGGGGATGGCCGGAGTAAAAAAAGAAACACACGGATCCGAGAGGCACCGTAGGCGCTAAGATGGCGACGGCGGACGTGTCTGGCGCAAAGATGGACTGGAGCATCTTCCGCGGTGCCGAGCTCTCTCTCTCTCTCTCTCTCTCTCTCTCTCTCTCTCTCTCTCTCTCTCTCGCACTCTCTCTCTCTCTCTCGCCTCTGTCTCTCTCTCTCCCTCTCTCTCTGTCTGCGGGTGGAGGGTGGGTCTGGGTCCCCTCCACGGCCCCCACGGCTGTGAATGCGTGTCTAGGCGCCGACATGTCGAGAACTATCTGGCTGCGGTGCGACTCGACGCTGGATCGGCGGCCCTCTCTCGGGGGGCCGAGATGCGCCGAGATGCCCGATGGCGCCCGAGGTAG